AAAGCTGGCTGGGGAATTCTGGGAGTTGAAGTCCGCCAAGGCTTCAAGTGGCCAAGGTTGGAGACCCCTGACCCAGATGACTTCGGGCCCTCCCTTTCCCTTCTGGGTGGGCTTTGCAGGTGGATTTGTCCCGGGAGGGAATAAAGGACCCTTTTAATGTTGCTTTCGGAAGAGTTTGAACAACGTCTGTTTTTCTGAATCCTACAACTTTTCGATCTATCTTTTCTCTGAGAACATTTGTGTGTCGTTAAGTTAACTTTATGCTCCATCTTGTCAAAAATGGTGAAACCACCCCCCCTCAAGCACTTTTACTTGAGGAGGGGAGAGGAAGACAGCATGTCAATGAGAGAAAACGGGCAGAGACACCCCCCCAAACTGGGATGCCCACAGCCGAGATAAACCTTCCACAAAAGAGCCACGCGCAAGATCTCATTTATTTTAGAAACCTCTCTTAATCATAAAATTGTATCCAAGAAATGAAAGAGTATTCACTGATATAAATAGGGGTCACAAGACTTGAGGTGCCGAATCAAGAAGCCGAGTACGAAACGGGCGATGAGGACAGGTAAAAACCCTCAAATATGATCCCTTTGGGCCACAGCCAAAGGCGACCTGTCAGCCCGGCCTTCCCTCCTGCAACTGGCTGGCTCTGGGGCAGCCCCAGAGAGCAGCAGGTTCAGCTGCTGCTTGCAGGCATCCCGTCTTCTCCCAGGAGATGGCAGCTCCCATCGTCCACAACCGAAGGTCCTGGGCCGGGCTGAACCAAGAGAAAAAAAACAAAAGGGGAAGAAGCAAAACAGCAGGCAGGGGAGAGGAAACGCCAGGGGAAAGAGGGCTATAAAACTATCAGTTGCATTTTATCGTTTGATACTTTGATAACGTTTAATGATTTATCTATCTGAACAGGGACTGAAGCAATGCAAAAACAATTCCAAATAAATACCCAAACGCTTTCTGCGAGATTTCCTTATTGTTATATCCACCTGCATTTTAATCAGGGGGTCTTCAAACTGGACCGCTTTAAGGCTTGTGGACTTCCACTCCCAGAATTCCTCCCCCAGTCATGTTAGCTCAGGAATCCTGGGAGTTGAAGTCCACAAGTCTTAAAGTTGCAGAGTTTGGGGGCCCTTGATTTAAATGGCCAGGTCTGGGGGAAGGGACAGGGGGGGCTGATCACTAGGCCCAAAAATAAGATCTCCCAAATGCCGGTGTGGCTAGGCAGCAGGTTGACCCACAAGGACATCTGACTAGGGTTAACACACCTGGAAGTAAAGTCTTTTTTAAAAAAACCAGGAGCCTAACCCCATACCTATGCCACCCTTCAGCCCATGGGCTCCAAGGGTTTTAAGTGCAGGCTAGTATTTGTTTTTCTTTGCAGAACCAATAAGCCAAAAAAAAAAAGGGAGGGGGGGAGAATGTTGGTCTGGATGAAAAGTCAGCACCAGCATTTGGAGGAAGGAAGGAAAGTTAAAAATCACTTAATGGGGCCTCCAGAGACACTTCACCCCAATAAAGGGTGAATATCCCCAAATATTTGTAGCTCAGGATTGAAATGAGGGGTCCTGGGTGGTCTCTGAGCTTGGTGGTTTTTTGGCAGGCTTTTCATGACCCAAACTGGGTAACATCATCAGTGCTGTATAAGGAGTACTGACAGCAAACTCCACTCCTTACAGCACTGATGAGGTGGCCTAGCTGGGTAATGAAAGGTCTGCAAGAAAGCAACCCAGCTCAGGGAGCACCAAGGACCCCTCAAACTCCACCCCAAGGATCAATAAAACGGAAGCCAGTCCTCAGGATGGACAGAGCCCCCCCGCCACCTGATTTCCCCCCCCCCAACACCTGGCAGGGAGGGTGCCCTCGTGTTCGATGCCCCTTGGCAGCCAGCAGGACAGGCCCCTACCTTGGTGATCAGCAAGTACCGGATGGCTCCTGGGAGAGGATCCCGGACCACCTCCGCCAGCAGCTCCTCCGAGGGACTCGCTGCCTTCACGGGGAGCCCCTTAAGAAACCTAAGAGGAGAAAAACCCCCGGAGTTAAAATCTGTGGCCACCCTGACCTCCATAAGGGAAACCTTAATTTTTTTGTTTCTGTGTTTGTGTTATTGCAAGCTCAGTCTCTTTGGACAGTGGGATGGGCAGCATATAAATCTAACAATAAGTGAATGATGAAAGACAAAAGAAATAGGCTGAAGGAGCCAAAAAGGCAGCAAAACCTGAAGCACATTTTCCAAAAGAAAACACTGTTTTGACATCAAGAAATAAATTGTTTAAAGCAAAAAAAAAGAGAGAGAGAGAGAGAGAGAGAGAGAGAGTCAGACAGGGGAATAACCACAAGCACTTGTAGGAGGGATTATAAACAAAGACCACATCCGTTACTTTTAAAAAACAATTTGGGGCGCAAGGTGGGTTACTCTGACTTCCCAAATAAGCAGCAAAGCTGGGCTCACTCACTGGTCTCCGTTCCTCTTGGGAGGGAAGGTGTGTTGGACCACTCCCACAAATTCCTCCAGCGTCTCATCCAGCAGGAAAAGGACAGCGTTGGGACCGGCATCGAACGTATAGGCCACCTGTCAGCAAGCACAGGGTCAGAAAAAGATAAAAGATGGAATCGTTTTTCTACACATAGACAGTAGACAGTGCTGTCTGTGTGTATTTACCCCTGCTGTATGGCTATAGCACTATTATTTATCCATATTATTGTCGTCTTTACTTTTGGTTGTTTTGCACGTACAACGAGACCTTCTATACCGGAGGCAAATTCCTTGTGTGTCCAATCCCACTTGGCCAAATAAAGCATTTGATTCGGTTTGGTTTGACCCTTTGACCTGCTGGCCAAAGACGAGGATCGCCAGCCTGCCCCAGGGGGTCCCCTCGCCTCACCCCTGGCGCCACAGAGCCCCACGCACTTTGGTTTCCCCGTGATGGGCGTTGAAGCGGTGCACCAGGGCTATGACTTGCTTGGAGGTGTCATTGAGGTAGAAGATGGGCGGGAAGGTGTCCAAGCAGGTGGCGTGGAACTGGTTGCTGTCCTTCATGGTGAGCTGACCAAAGGCCTCAAAATCCCTCTGCCGGATGTGCTGGATCATCTGGGCCATGCGCTCCGGGACCACAGCCTCGGCACGGTGCTGGAAGAGGACAACGAGGCTTTCAGGAAGAGACTGGACTGCCATCTGCCTGAAATGGTGTAGAGTCTCCTGCTTGGGCGGTGGGGGAGGGTTGGTTGGACCAGATTCTCAACTCGTAAAACATTTCTATGGTCTTTTTAGAGTTGCCAACAGAAAGGGAGGGGGGAGCAGCGTGGCAACTTCCAAAACCGAAAGCGCATTCCATAGATGTTTTCAAAGATAGTAACTAGGTGACTGAAGTTTCTGCCGTGCAAAATTCTAACTGGAGAGCATGACTGATGACTCTGGGCTATGGAGGTGTCCCATTGGAGAATATGAATTACGATACAGCCAAGGGGGGTAGGGGGAAAACCAGGGTCAAGGGTGACAATGAATGATGTGCCTCAGTGTTGGCTACCCCCAGGCAGTGCCGGCATGTTAACTCCTAATAAATCCTTTTGAAGTTTGGCTCGAGACTCAGGATTGAAATGGGGGTAACTGCCAGAATCCTGACATCAGGGGGAGGGGGGCTCTGTGACCGGGCAGCCGTGTCTCTTACCTTCAACAGGAGGCTGGTCTTCACACTGGTCTGCATTCCGGCCGTGCTGCCCACCGCCTTCTTCTCTGCACTCACCTGCCATGGAGGGAGGGGGAAGAGGAGCCACGGGGGGTGGGGGGGGGCGGGTGCAGGAAGCATCAGCCGCTCAGTCCTGCAGAAGGGGCCTCCCCCACCTCCCTAAGCAACGGGGCCCAACTACTAGGCAGCTTTAGTTTCCGTGGTAGGGAACGCAGACTCACCACCAGGATCAGGACTCGCAGCTCCGGCCAGTGCGTCTCTGGCGCCACCTGTTGGGCCACGCTGTCTTTGCCGTCGGCATCGCTCCCCATCACCCACTGCACGAAGCCCCCAAACATACTCCGGCAGGCGCTCCCAGAGCCCTGGCGAGCAATTTCGGACAGGTCCCCCTCCACGCCGTAGAGCTGGGCCAGAGTGTAGACTGGAAGGGAAGCGAGAGGGCAGCCGGTCCCACAGCAGAACTTCTCCCGGGGGCCGCACCCTTAGGAGGTTTGGGGGCAGAACTCCCCAAATAAATGTTTCTGGGCTGTGGCATATGGGAGGCGGAGTCCAGCCCAGATTAGAACTGGCAGCCCTTGAGAAAGGGATCATAGAGCACACTGTGCAGTACGCAGAAGAGTCCAAGGATGGTGGAAACGCCCTGGAGGGGGCTAGAGGGGGCCTCCTGGAAGCAGGCATGGCTGGCTGGACTTTAATCAGCAACCCCAGCCCACATGCCACGAAGCCACCACTTCGGGTCTCAACCTCCCCCATCCGCTTTCTGTCCGTGGCTGCCACTCCTTCCCAGCCACAACAAGGAGGCAAATCACAAAGCCAGGAATCTCGAAGACCCCCCCGGTCTGACCCCCAGGGCCCCCACTGGGACCAGCTTCACTTACCCAGGCAGGCATAGCCAGCAGCAGAAGAGGCCAAGCCCGCCGCAGTGGGGAAATTGTTCTCCGAGGCTATGTGGACTTTGTAGCTCAGAGGAGGGAGGTCCCCCTCGTCACCCCCATTTCTCTCACCATGGCGCTTCCTAGCCAGGCGACGGACTGAGAGAGAGAGAGAGAATGAGAGAGAGAATGAGAGAGAGAAGGGAGCTAAGGTTGCTGAACTCTGCAATGAATACAGGACACAAGGAGAGAGAATATGCCCTCTAATGGCTGCCTCTTATATAAACACCTCTTAAAGGGATAGAACCCATCCCCAGTCTTAAAGGGAAATACCCATGCTATGCTGATTCATTCTTATTGCATCAGCCACATCTGGTAAGCTTCACTGCTGTTCAGCTCTTAAATCCCAAGACCTTAATCCAGAGGTCTTCCAATTTGACAGTTTTAAGACTCGTGGACTTCAACTCCCAGAATTCCTCCTCCAGTCATGTTAGCTCAGGAATTCTGGGAGTTGAAGTCCACAAGCCTTAAAACTGTCAAGTTGGAAGACCCTTGCCTTAACACATGGTTAGACATTTCCTCTATGCTGTGTCTCACCCAGCAACTATCATCCTGGGTATCTCCCTTCACTAAGGGGGCTAGGGGTTCTGAGCTGGTCAAATACTGTAATAAAGTTTGCTACTGCTACTACAGAGAAAGGCATTTAAAACAATATTCTTCATAATAAAAGCATCCAATTATGCAGCGTCTCTATCTGCCATCCAAAGCAAGGTGACTCCTTGGGCTGAACTAAGTTTCTGTGTCCAGTGGAAATCCTCAGGGCAAAAGAAACAGGCCCTGCTCACTGGCGCTCAGGCCTTCAAAACAAAGAATCAGAAACACCAGAACATTCAGAAGCCAAGCTGGGCGGCCCTGCGCTTACTTTCCCGCAGGCAGGTCTGGAGACGGGGCTGTTCGATGTCAGCCGGCTCCCCATTCAGCCAGAGGCGGTCCTCCGTGAAGTCCCGGCTGAGAGCGGCTGTGGTGGTTGTTTTCAGCTGTAACAGAACAGAAGCCACGGCAGGTCAGACCTCCAGCCTGGAGCAAGTGTGAGGAAGCCCACAAAGCCTCTGGGCGTTCCAAGAATCCACCCTCACTGGATTATCCCGTTAAGCCACTGGCTCTCTTCTAGTGGTTCATGAGTGAGGGGATCTCATCACCTGCCTCCAAACGTTAAATGAAGTGGCAATGGCAACAATAGGGCAGCCAAAGAGGGCAGCTCCCAGAAATGAAGGAGGAAGAAGAGCAGAAGCAACCTTGACAGGATTTTCAGTTAAAATTGCAGCTCTTAAAGGGGTTTTAAGTGGTCCTAAGGCAGAGGCCTCCAAACTTCGCAACTTGAAGACTTGTGGACTTCAACTCCCAGAATTCTCCAGCCAGCCATGCCTGCTTTTTTTCTCTCTTAATCTCCTAAAGTGGAGAGATATTGCAGAGGAGGGGATTACAAGAGAGTAAACTATGCTGGTTGGGGAATTCTGGGAGTTGAAGTCCACAAGTTGCCGTGTTTGGGGACCCCTGTCCTAAGGCCACAGAGCTTCCTTCAACCACGTTCGGTCTGCAGGCAGAAGTCGGTCACCCCAAACAAAACGGGCCACTTGTGAGAGTCTGGCACCAACCTGATCTTGGTGCAGGGTGACGCTGAGGGATGAATTAACAGGCAGGATCAGCTTTTCGTCTCGCTTTCCCCCTGGATGAGGAAAGAAGGACATGGCTTGAACTGGGGACAAACTCAGCACCGCAGGGCAGCTCCCTGAACCTTCCACGGACGGAGAACCTCATAAACCGGGAGACTGACAGAGCCGCTCCAACCTGTTTTCTGGCCTTTAATTACAGCTTGCAGGCAAAGCTATTATTTGTGAAGGATCTTCCTCCTTCTCCTGATCTCTCTATCGATTTGGCTCCCAGAGCGGGTTTTACCATGGAAAACCAGATGTTCCACATATTGCTTCAGAGTCTACAGGTACATTCAACAAACAAATACTCAGTGGATCTGCTCCTAAATAAAAATGCAGATAATTTCAACCTGGTTCGTTTAAACTGGGCTCACATCTCCCTCCAGCCAATTCATCCTCTGCACTCAGATGCAGGTATATTTATTGCGAAGGAAGTACAGAAGATTATAGCCTAAGACACCAATTTCTCCGTATCTGGCACCCATGTTCGTAAAAGCAATTGGCCCCTTTAAGCCTTCTTCAAGAGGGCTCGTTTGATTTCTCCTTGCTCTTCCTGGCCCTTGATTCACGCCTCCTTGGGGTTCCCAGCCCCTCTTTCCTGCAGGGAAAGGTGTTTTTTTTTTCATCATACTGACAGCAAGAGCCTCTTGGAGCCCCCCCGGGCCCCCCCCCCCCCCCCCCCGCTGCATTTCCACCTCCTGATCCTACCTGCAGCTCTGACTGGGGATCTCCTGGTGGTCCCCCATCCAAGCCGCCTTCACCAGCATCACCAGCCCTCCTGGAAAACCACCCCGGGCCCTTCGCGGGCTCCACGCAGCCACTCACAGTACTTGACCACCGCGATGTTGACCGGCGCCGTGCAGGTGACCAGAGCCGGCCGCTTCTCTCCGGCCACGGGCGGACTCATGACCGCCGCCGCCGCCGTTCCCTTCCTCAGCAGGACCCTGGCCCGGCCTGCCCAGCGCTCGCGCTCCCGTCCCAGTCCGCCCAGTCCGCCCTTACTGGGATCGGAGCCCGCGTCCCCCACCTCCTCCTCCTCCTCCTCCCCCACACGTGTCCCAGCCGAAGCAAGCAACACGCCTCCCCGCCCGCCATTGGCTCGCGCCGCTCCAGCTGTGGCCGCGCCGCCCAATCAGCGCGCTCCCCGCCTCCTCCGGCCGCCGCTCTCAGCCAATCGGAGTGCGTCGGACGATGGGGCCGCCGGCTCGCCTCATTCCAGGCCGGAACCTTCGGGGCTTGGTGGGAGCGGGAGAGGTTTCCAACTCGGGCGGCTTCCCGCGTGGCACCGGCGCCAGGGCATGGTAGGCACAGCACAGCCCCCCCCCCACGTGCGCGCATGCTCGGTTGCGTTCGCCCCGGCCGGGCTCTTTACCGCCGCCGCGTCTTCCTTCGCTTGCAGAGACGCGGCTCTTTCCCGTCTCCTCCTTTCCCCCCTCGCGGAGGGTCGCGGCGCCGCTTCTTCTCCGCTGCCCCGGTGCAGCCTGGCGGGGGGGGGGGGGGGGGGGGTGGAAGCCCCTTCGGGACATCGGGGATCTGCGTGGCTGAGAGCCCGCAGAGACGTTTCGCTCTCCCGAACCCGCCTCCCTTCCAGGGAGATACCCTTCCCTCCCTTCTCGCGGCTCAAGCCCCGCGCCTGTTTTCTCCCGGCGAGGACTCCGCGGGGGCAACTCTCCGCCCCCCGCGGTCTTTCCACCTGCTCGGCATCCCCGGCGCGAGCGGCACCCAGGCGGGGCCGGGCTCGGTTCCACGCGGGGCGCCCGGCCGGCTATAGATAGACCGCCCTGCCGGCCAAGGCCAGATGGGTAGGAAGGGGCGGCCTCTTGCTTGGCCCCGGGGCCGGAGCGACTTCCTCGGCCAGAGGCGGGCAGGGCTATTTCTGGGGGCTGGCATTTAAGGGGGAGGGCTGCTTTTCCATTTGTCATGGGAAAAAGAAACTTAAGCTGGAAAGATCTCGGCACCCATCAGCCAACCCTCCTCCTCTCCTGTTTCAAAGCTCCACTTGATGTACCTGGCTCCTAACCCAGAGCCCGTAAATTAAGGTCATTGCACTTTTCTTAGACTGGACGTGTTTCCCACTCCCCCATGACATCGGGGCCTGCCCTTGTTATCTCGTCCCACAGAGCAGATCCTCCATTTCCCCTTCAGCCAGCCTCCTTGGGGACAGCCGGAAGACTTTAGAGAAGAAGAATCTCTGAAGTTCTATATTAATGTGGCCAAGAGTGTCCATTTACACCAGAACCTGGTAAGAGTCACTTGCTTGAGTTGGGCAGTAAATAGAAACTGAATAAATAAATAACATTTATAACATCACTTCCTCTCTGAAAGAGAGTTTGTATCCAATTTCTAACTATAAAATCCACTCCTGTAGTGAAGAAATATCTTTTCTTGGGCGGGAAACATTTTAAAAAAAACAGGGCTTCAGAAAGCAATCTTATGTTATTTTATCCTATAATTGTGAATTGAAATGGGATTGTATCCGTGTCAACATCAATCAAAAGTTGGTTTGTACAGCATACCATATTTACTCTACCGTTTGTACTAAAAAACTACTATTGGAAGACCTAAAGTACCAGACTGGGAAGAAATCGTGCAGAAAATCTGTGCGTTCACTACAAGTTGAGAACGACTTGATGGCGTGCAATCAATCACTAAACACTGAATTATAGTCCAACCAAAAGACTGAATTTATACATCAGACCAACCCTGATCAAAACAAAATCACCCAACAATTTAATAAACTTCACATGTTACAGTACAGTGTGTGAATGAAGCTGACTATTGAAATGTCTGCAAGAAAACCACCCACCCGTCCTCATATCAATCCTAAACTATAAACATTCTCTATTTAAGTACGGTAGGTGAGCCCTGGTGGCTGGGCAGAGTTAAGATTTGAACTCAGGACTTTCTACAACCCCAGCTGCCTTTACCCCAGGAAGGCAGATAGACTTTGGGGAGAGAGCTCAGCAGAAATGACTCCAAATGCAAACAAACAGGCTTTTTTAAAATTCTCAATCCTTGATCTGAGAAGTGGGAGTGGGTCGGTTTTCTTCTCGGCCAGCTTTTGTGGACCAAGAAGGAACCAAAACAAGAGCCCAGATGGTGCCTCCTGTGCTTCCCAGCTTCAGGCCACCGAAGCAGAATGGAAAAACAGACTCACTCATCTGATCCTCGCATTCCCCTCGCTGCTGGCAAATCAGCAGGTGGGGGTCTCGGGTGCCCACCTTTGCCCTGCTGCTATATTTACCAGCACTTTCCATCTGCTGCGAGTAAGAGGGAAAAACATTTGGCTTATTTTAGAAGCAGCAACATACTTTCCTGCTCTGGCCCTCCTCACAACAGGTGGAAGAGCTGTTTTTAGAACTTTTGCAGCTCAAAATAGTGCGGAGTTTACAACGCAGCTTGCTTTAGGCATCTCAGAGTCCTATTTATGTTCTCCGGCCACGGGGAAGGCTATAAATATTCCTGTTGCTTCCCCACTCTGCCAGGCTGACCTCACTGCTGACTTCAAGTGGCACAAACATCTCCCACCTTGTTTTAGGCCCTTTGATAGCAACAGAAGCACAGAAATGCTCCAGATGTTCTCCTGGGGGGAAAAATGGGGAAAACACTCTCATGGGTGGGTGAAAAACGTGGATTGCACTGACAAGCTTTCCCATGAGGAAAAGCAACCAGGTAGAATTTTTCTCTCGATTTTGGCTTTGAAATAGTCCCTTGGGGGTAGCCTCAAAAAACTTGGTTGCATCTTGATGAACACGGCCTTTCATTTTATTTGCCTTTTAAATGAAAAGGAAATCATTGCACAGACCCCTTGTCTGAACGCAAATTCCTTCCAAGAAGGACTGACACCAAGCGTGGAGTCCAGAAGAAAATGAACAGGGGGAAGACAATCTGCCGAATGTCACCTGTTTAATTTTATTTTTGCTCCGTTGTTTATGCACAGACGGAAAGATCACAGCATCTATCAAAACAAAAAACAAAAAAACCAGCCAGTTCAAATTTGGATGCTCTGGGAAGACTCTGCCAGACTCTGGCAGGCAGAAATGAATAAAAGAAATACTCTGCCTTCAGCAGAGACCAACCAGATTCCTTCCAAGAAATCCAGGGTGGAAAAAACAAACCAACCTCATATCTGAAAAGACCAGGAAAAAATATCTACATGCAGTTTAGTCAACCCAGGTCCTTTTTTCATGCTAACTGCTCCAAACTTCCCACTCTGCTGGCCACACCTTTGCATTCAATTAAAACCCCAATTGGGGCCATTCAAAATGTCAACAGATCTATTTCAAAGTATTCCTGAAATTTGGTGGTAAAGCTCATCCCGTCTCCTTTTTCTTAGCTTAACCTTGGCCTCTCCCAAAGGGGCAAAGGAAGGAAGGATTGCTGGTAAACCAACGAAGACTCAGCCTCTTGGGAAGACCCTGGTGGGTTTCCCCCCCCCCCCCCCCCCCCCTCCGTCAATGGCCTCCCTCCCCCTGGAGTGGATTTGACTTGACCAGAGAAGATCCTACTAAGCAACACTTTTCTCCGAGTTTGTTAGGGAGGAAGCCCTCCCCCCATCTTGTCCTCCTGCGCAACCGGCAGACCTGCCATGTGCTCTGGCAAGGGAGTTGTCACGATGGCAGAGATTCATCAGCATCCAGAAAAGCCACAAAAAATTCAGGCCAGAAGTGGGAGATGAGCAGTGTTTAATGCCAAGAATAGCAGAACGAAGCAGACAGTGAATGCATTGATGCTTCTGAGCACCTCTCCAGCATGGGGCCTGGAAGGAAGCCAGCTGGGGAACATGGTCTCTGGTGCTCAAGTGATGAAACCATCCTGGAGCCCAGAAGATGCCATCGCACCAAGAGCAATTCACAGAAGGAATTTAAAGTCATCTGAGGACACAACTCCTTTTACTGCTTTATTTGGAGCAAAGGTAGGCCCAGTCAGATCACCGACTCCTGCTGCAGGATGCAGCCGGCCTCCAAATTGCAGGTCTGCCTTCACTCATCCAAAGCTTCTCTGTCTCTGCCAGCCTCAGGATGCTGTGGCACAGGATGCGGCCTCCTTGTGCCGCAAAAGCAGCGACATCCGGGAGAAGGTCTTTAAGCAGGCGCAGCACTGGTACCTCTTGACCTCCGAATGGGTCTGCAGATGAGCACGGAGATTGGAGCGGTCAGCAAAGGCTCGGCTGCAGTGGGAGCAGGAATAGGGCTTCTCACCTGGGAAGGAATGCAGACAGGTGAGGCTAGGTGGGGCATGCAGGGGCAGGGGCTGAGTGCCAACCGCCCTAAAGAGAACCATGAGTTCATTTGATGACCATCACACACACAAAAAAGGTTATGAGTTGGGTTGGTCACTTAGGTGACCTGTTTTGTGACCTACAGCTGTGATGGGCAGATTCCATTACAATTGTAAGTTGAGAACTACTTGTAGAAGCACTGAATGCTACAGAAACATTGTGCAAAAAGAGGCCCATGTACCTAATTACAGGTATGTTACATGCCCCATGCGGCAAACGGGGGAACATTCCATAAAGCAGGGGTGCAAAATGAAATCTGGTTGCTAAGAGAAGCCAGACATTTGTGCCTTATCGAGCAATCTTTAATTCAGCCAGTGATTGTGACGGCGCTACAGGAGTGTCTGGTTTCTGGTGACCACAGATTTTGGTCACAAGGGCTATTCAATTTCAGCACCCCACCCACCCACCCACTCCCCAAAAAAGGCACAGGCATAACCCAGCTATTCACTCACTACAGACATCAACCCTAGAATCTGTTTTTAAAACCACGATTTAAACTTGGTTCATGCCATTTAGCAGAACCGGTGATTTTCTGAGTAGACGCCCACTGCCCTGCAGGGGAGGGCAAAGAATCCAAAGTCAGATATTGAACAGGAGAACCATAATAGACCAATGATCCATTACAAAACCCTCTGGGTGAATTTGGTGCACCAATGCTGCCTCCGCTTTGCAGGAATGCTGTAAGCCTAATGCTGCAAAGAGAACCACCTTTGATGCCATCCTGGGTCCCTAGAAGACAACTTCAGTGCTCATGCAACCTTCCACAGATGTGTTTGCACTCCAGCTTGGGTTGCATTGCAGCAGTGTGCAAGGCCCTCTCCCCTTCTTTCCTGTGATCTTTCTCCCTCACCTGTGTGTGTCCGGATGTGTCCCTGCAGCAACCAAGGCCGGGAAAAGGCTTTGCTACAAATCTTGCACACGCAGGGCAGTGTGTGAGTCCGGATGTGCATCTTGAGAGCCCCCAAGCTGGTGTACCCCTTGTTGCAGTATTTGCAGCTGAAGAACCTGGTGGTCGCTGCAGCTTGCGGCTTGCAGCCCTGCTGCCGGTGCCGGGCCAGGCCGGAGAAAGTGCTGTAGGGCTTGTGGCAATCCAAGCATGTGAACCTCTCCAGAGGGTCAGGCTCAGCTGGCAGCTGCTGTCCTTCTACCTCCTCCAGGTGACCACCCAGACTAGAGCACGTCCTCCAGGGCGGCAGGCCGAAGGCCGGTGGGAGATTGAGGTTGTTGGGGTTATCCCGGAGAGGGGTGGATGACCCCCGGCTGCCTCCAGCCCTCTCCCCACTTGGGAGGTTCAAGGCGAGCTGCTCTTTGGCCTCCCGGCTCTGCAGAAGAGGTGAGGAGAGGCTTGCGGAAGAAGGAGAACTGTGGTTCCTCAGAGGGCTGGCTTCGCGGGATGTGGAGGGGCAGGGCGTAGCCTCCTGGATAGAAAAGGAACATGTCATCCAGGTGTGACTTGGCCTGTTGCATTCTGGGGATGGAAACAACACAGAAGAAGTTGACCAACGTGGTATTCCTGCCTTCCCTTCTAGAGGTCTAGATTCTCAGTCATTCAGGTCATGGTTGTCCCAAAGGTTTTTTTCCGAGAGGCAACTGGACTTTCTGGGAAGCCTAGAAAGTCCAGTTGCCTCTTGAAAAAGTACCTTTGGGACTTCCCATCTAGACCCCTCCAGACCCTTTTCCTTGACCTTCTGCACAAACACTTGCAAATGGAAACTTGCTGAGCCTGCAAGTGGAGCGTTCCAAGGCAGGCTCTCACTTTCTCAGCAGCAACCGAAGGCAGCGTAATGCCCCCAGGCAGATTATAGCTCTCCCATCTAAGGACCAGTTCCCAGTTAGGTCTGATCCTGCTTAAGCCTTAGCCAAGGTCAACTGCTGCCCATCCTAATATCGGCCTGGGGTGCGCTGAACATGAATTGGGAGACCTTTGCTAAGTACCTTATATCTCATAAATTCTACTCCCGGGGAAAATGTTCCTGCTTTTATTCTAAGCAAGCTGTTTCCTAGCTTAACTTATCTCCACAGCCTGTACTGGCTTTGTTCCTAAGAAGGAAAGATGGAGGCTGCAGTTCCTGCAGCCAAGGGTGGTGCTTTTAATCCAAAAACCTACTTCCAGGGCTCTTCCCTTGGAGCAGACACCTCTCTTCGTGGCTTCTTCTGATGAACATCTTTGCAAGGAGGTGAAAAAACAGAGTTGAGTAATAAACTCACCATGAGAATCACGCGTGCCTGAAGGTCAAAGTTGCCTTTAAAAAAAAAAAAAAAAGCAAAGATCCAAAATGTGCACTGAGGACACCCCCAGCTGAAGCCTTGCTTTGATGGGCCAAGGTGGTATCGCCTGCCATAATATTCTCAAGTCCCTCTTATGACTGTTATAAATCAAACAGGATCTTACACCAAAGAGAAAGCACTTGGAATATTTTAAATATCTCCAGGCCACCCTATCACACACCCTCTCTGGTACGTTGGAAAATATTCTGCATTCCAGTTGAATTTGCATTCTTTTCCAGGGTATGAAAAAGTGAAGAAGGGTAAATGCCACACAGCCTGTTCTCTTGGAAACATTTACATTCAGAAACACCGAGGGGGCAGAATCCATGGGGGGGGAGGGGGAGGTAGGGGCCCAGGGTCCATCTTCACCAATGTAGGGGTTACAGGATGGCTGGCCAGCCCACTGGAGCTCAAGCCATCTTCCATGCATGTAGCCCAACAAGCAGAGATCAAACCTAGCCTTTCTTGGACTCTCTGTAAACCACTAGTATCCTCAGAGCACCACACCCTCCTTCTGGTCTTTGCAAGCTCTCTCAGTTGGAAACCCGCCAGCTCTTTGTCGATCACGAATGCCCTCACTCTGCACCCCATTTTTTTTTTAAATGCCTAGTTTTCCTGTTCTGCTGCATTGAGTCTTCCAAAATTCCTCTGCTGCTGAGTTAAAACAGTACTCGGTGCCTATCTTTGAGTCAGCCGAAAATTACATCAGGAAAACAATTTTGTTTCTTTGCAGGAAGGCACCAATTTTAATACACACACTCAGAATTAAGAATGCAAATAAGGTGCACTGCATGTCTAAACCCAACAGAAAATTAATAAAAGAGTGAAAAGCAGGAAAAGTCCACTTTAGACATTGGCAGCTGAGTGGGGCTGGGATGAGAGTTGAAGGCCACCAATGGCGATTGCAACGGAACCCAGAAAAACCCAGAAAGCCCCACAGTCTCAGGGGCCACAGCCTGCATCACCCGTCCTGGCACGGTGGGCTGTGCAACAAGGCCCGGGCTGTTATTTTGGAGGCTGCCTCGGAGCATGTGCAGAGGCGATCTAGATGTGGGAAAATTCCCACCACCTTCAGGGTTTTTAGGGCACTGAAGCCTCTTCATTTATCTACTTCATTTATCGTCCTTTTTGAGAGGGAAAACAGCCTCGGCTTATGAAATTCCCCGAACATCATTTGGAACTTTGGATCCGTCTGCTTGCAAGCCGGCTTCCCTCCTCCGCCACAGCATCTCTCTTGCCCGGTTCCGCGGTTGCTCTAACTAAAACCTTCCACCTGTTGTCGCTTCTCCTCGGAGAAACTCCCGCCTAGGAGGAGCTCCGGCGCCGGGCAGCGCTGCCTTCCCGGGAACCCGCCAAGCCCCGAGAGCGCAGCCGGCGGAGCCCCGGGACAGAAAGACCGCAGGAGAAGCGAAGCGGAGGAAAGTCCCGCGGCTCCCAGCCTCTCGCAGCTCCGCCGACGGGGCCCGACGGGCTCGGGGGAACCGCTCTCCAGGGGCCGCCTCGAAAGGAGCCTCCCGCTTGGCCAGAAGGCAGAGCCCGCCCGCCGCCTCCTGCCCGGGCTCTTCTGCGGGCCGGGCAACACGGACACCCGCGGGGCGCCTGGGACGGCCGGCAGGCAGGCGGAGGGACCGGCGGGGGCGGCCGGCCGGGCGCCGCTTACCTTGGCGGCTGGTCTCCAGCTGGCCGTAGTTGGGGACGCGGCGGCTGCTGCGGGGCTTCTTGACCAGGAAGGAGCGCGGCATGGCAGGCGGGCGGTGGGTCTGCCGGCCGGGCAGGTGGCATAAAGCCGCGGCCTCATTAGCATGGTCCCGCCGCCAGCCAACCGCCGCCCGAGGGCCGGCCGGGGCCTCCGCCGCGCCGCCCCTTCCCCGGCAGGTGCAAAAGGCCGGGCTGCGGGAGGGAGACCCCTCCAGTCCTCCCCAGCAGGGTCCAGCTCGGACTCGGGGCCCATCATTTGGGCGGAGGGAGGCGCACCCCTCGTTGCTCCTCATCACCCCCACACTTTGCGCAAAGGGGGGAGAGGGAGGTGCGTCTGAAGGACCAGTGCAGGGTGTGGGGGGGGGGGGGGGGGGGGGGGGGGGGAGCTGAGGGGACTTGAATTTGGGCTAACATTCCACCTCAATATCCTACAGAAGACATTTGCTTCCTTAAAGAAAACTTGTACTCCTGGGTTTGGGCTTGCAATCTGCTCCACCAACTTCCATGGATTCAGAAGAGCCCCTTGCACTGGGAGGGGTCCTTGAAGTTGCCAGGATTGAGAAAGGCAGGGTGGGGTTTGCAGCAGGAGCCCATCCCAGCCAGCTCACTCACCTGGCCACGGAGTTCCTCTGCTTCCGTTTCTTCTTGAAGTACCAGCCCAGCCCTGGGGGTGGGGGGTTTCCCCTTCCCCTGCTTGCTCAAAAGGTGGGTGGGTGGGTGGGGAATGAAAAGGATTCCTTTCTTTTTGATTTCCAATACCTATCAGCAGCCACAGGCCAGTTCTATTTTTAGGATGAGAGGAAGAGCATTCCTTAGGCACCAAGAGGGTCGGCCAGCCTCCTGTTATTGTTTACTCCCTTGCAACCCGGAGACCTTTCCAGGCAGCTGTTTCCTAGACCCCCCTTTTGGGCAGGGAGGGGCATCTCCTACACCCCTGCAAGACAACATGGCAACTTTGGGATAGGGTAAGAAGTTGATACCCACCACACTACCCATGTTTTTAGTTGGTGGGCACCAGAGCTGTAGGTGGACCTCGTGAGGGTGGGGCTTGGTCCCTCAGAGAGAGACCCCTCCTAAGCACAGGTGGGCCCCTGGGTGGGTTTGGGTGAGCCAGAAATGCTGCCACCTCCAGCAAAGCTTCTCTTGGTGCCCCCAATGGGCACAGCTGGAGGAGCCGAGGAGGGTCCCTGACCTACAAGGGGACACTAACCAGGGCAGGAGGGGTGGCCTTCTCCTCTCCCCCCCCCCCCCCTGTGCTGGAGGGCACTTGCCTGAGCTCCCTGCCTGCCCTTCTACCTAGCAGAGAATGTTAAGTGGCACTTGGTAGGGAGCGATCATGTCTGTTCAAATGCACAGACGGCCTTGAATGGGAGGAGGCTATATAAGGCCGAGCTGCCTAAGGAATGCAGCCTTTCCTGGAGAGACTCCAAAGGGACCATTAGGACCAGGAAGGTGTTGGGGGCTGAAGGGGGGGGGGGAAACCTCAGGTCAAGCCATCAAAGAGTGGGTGGGCGGGTGGATCTCCCACTAGAGAACAGAGACTTTACCAAAGGCTCAAAAGCTGCACTGTCTTTTCCTCTCGCCAACCCCAGGAAGAACAGGTAATAGCTTGAGTATTTTGAGGAGGGGGGAAGGATATGGGATACAAATGGGGGAGGGGGAGGAGGGTGGCAAGGGCACATTGGCATACATCTTTCCTTCACCCCCTTCCTAAGGTTAGTGCAAAAAAGAAAATCTTACACACCAATGGAAATGGCTGCAATATCCTTCTGAAAACAATTAACCCCGTTTCTTCCTATCAGATTGAAGAAAGGTTTAACAAGCGAAGGACAAACTCTTGTCAACCAAATTCAAAAATTCCCTTGCATTTTTTTCTGAACAGAGATAGATTTTTCCCATTTCTGCACCTTTTCCGGTCTCAGGAAGCTGGGAGGGAGGAAAGAAGGGGGGAGGACATGTAACAAAAGCTGCAATACCCAGGCCTGGTTGACAAAGAAGCCACAAGCCAGGGTGGTGATGCTGATCAGGAGTGGGCCCACAGCAGATATAAATGCTTGGGGGCTCCTGCCTCACCTGAGTAAATACCACCAGAGCACTGATACAGCTACCTGGTACTCAAAAAAGAACCTGTTCCAGGAGCAGACAACCATGCTGCACATGCGAGTCAGACCTGTTTCCACAAGCCCAATAAGCAAAGACAAGCCACTTTCAATTGGGGGCTTGGCTTGTATAGCAAGCCATGGTTTGTAGTCACCCCTCACTGAATAAACTGCAAAACTGGTTTGTCGCGCACACAGAAACGCCCATAGATGGATTCACAGATGAACGAGCGCTAAGGCTGCTCTGAAGACGCAGAGACACATCCCGTCGTAGCTTATTCACAGCTTTTATTTCTTTCCAGCCTACTTCAGGCCCACTGACCCAGAATCCGGCCACCTGGATAATAAAAGCCTTAGAAGTTCTGCTTAATAACTTG